AAGCGCGTGATTTTTCGCGCTTTATTCAATTTAACAAAGCGAGTAGAATTGGTATTACGTGGGCGTTTTGTGTGGTCATAAACTATTCTACCATTCTAAAGATACATATAAGCATATCATTTATTTTATTTACAGAAGCACAAAAAGCCGGTACTAACCGAGAAACAATGTTTTCTGTAGATTTAAAACCAGTAAGGTACCGTTGGTATTCGTACTTTTCAATTAGATTAATCAACAATGATTCTTTGTTTCGAAATAAGAACGTACAGAAAAAAGCTGTAAGAATTTTTTAGCGTGCAACAGCGAACAGTGATAATAAGGCTGTACAGTTGCCACTAGATACACTTATATACATTTTTAATGAAGCTGTTTATTTTAATTTACTAAATGGTCATATTTTATACTCCCTGTGAATCTATCTTCCACGTTAACCGCCTATAATAAAACTAAGAATGTGTTTAGGCTGCATAAGTTGACTTGTAATCAAAAGAATCACATATTTTTCTATATTAAGTCAAAGCTTTAAATAAAGCTCTGCATTTGTATCTACCGAATGATGAAATTCTTACGTGCCTTGAAGTTAGGGAACTTTACCGCCTTAAATATACCCATTTTTCTTCGGAATTGCAAAAGAGGGCAGATGTAGTTTCTCATTAGTCCCGGCACAGTATCATGCGGCATCACTTTGTGGGAATCCACGATAAGGATTGAAAACAGCGGTACAGCCTCCGGCATTAGTTAAAAGAAAAGCAAAAAGTGGGCGCCGTCAGACGCAGGTTATCTCTAGTTATTTGTCGTATCAAGTGGTTCATTTGGATTTCGCCGCCGCTTCAAACGAACCGCCGCGCACGGTAGCCGTGCCACGGCCACTTACCATGCTATGGGAATTAGTGTTGTGCTTGCCTCATTACTATACATATCGATATAGAATAAAATTATTATAAATTGCGCGTGTTTTCGTCGACAAGATTTACTATCTATCTTATATAGATCATTTAAAATTTCAAATTAAAATGTTGCGCGCATTTCAGTGGTTTTAAAACCAATTATCAAAATAGTTTCGATTGTAGATATTTCATACCTTACGCATCCTGTTAGTATTGTACTATTATACACCTAACATTTTCATAGACATCATACATTTAAAATTGCATTTGGCAATAATCGTAGTTCATTATGTCCACAACACTAGTAGGAATGCAACAAAAGCAACGGTCCAACGCAACACGTTTATTGCCTCATCAAAAATGGTAGATGAGTGTCGTAGCGTGGCGGGTGCCGGTGCCGCCCCGCTTTGTAGATGCCCATTAAAATCTTAATCTGTTTCAAATTCCGATTACGTAGAAATTATTTATTAACGAATATTAATTCCGCCATATTTAGTTTGGTAACTAACCGCGATCGTTTGTGCCACTTTAATTAATAAACGAAAGTTTTATGCAAATAGAATTTAATAGAAATAGACGCTTTTATAGTCTGTTATAGAATTTGGAGAATGTGAGGTAACCTGATGCGTTTGTTTTTGGTTCATTAGTTTTAAAACATTAAAATATAGTTTCTAATAGCCTATTTGGCTAATATTTTTATTAATAGAAACTATTAAAATGTTAAATCATACTTAGAAAGCGAGTTATAAAAATGTGTTGTTGTTGAAAAATGTCAATTAGAGTATATCTTATCTTAATATTATAAATGTTAAAGTTTAGATGGGTGGATGTTTGTTAGAGTTTGTAGCCTAAACGGCTGAATGGATTTCGATGAAATTTGGCTTAGATGTAGAAGATACTTTGGAAGAAATAATGGGCTAGTCGCTTCTGTTTTTTTTTAATGCCACGCGGAAGGAGTCGCGAGCTACAGCTATCATAAAAAAGTGGGCCAATAAGTAAGCAAAGAAAACGAATTCTTTTATCTGTCTGAATTAAAGAGTTGTACCTTTTTCTTACTTTCATAAGTTCATAGTTATTTCTCGTGTAAGTTGCACGTGTAATCATTATGTATTAATTGTGTAACACCTGTTAGGTGCGTATAGTTATTGTTTGACTTGTAACGGTCTTGTTCAACAAACAGCCGTTAAGCTGTTCAAATTATAATTTTAATCATAGCCAACGACCTCTCCTTCATTTGCATGAACGCTTTACATGGAAAATCCACAAACTTGTTTAGACAAGGGAATTTAATAGGCTTTTATAGCGACCGAAAGCACTCTGAATGTTCGTAGAGAAATATTTGAAATCCTTTGTGACATATTGCTTAATAACCGGTTCTGAAATTAATTATTATTTTTGATTACGTTTGAAATAATACTTTAAGTGAGAACGTATACGATTGATGTTTGTGTTTATCACGATTTCTGGTATTCAAATTTATTTTTAATATTAAATTACTAATAGCATAATATTCTACGAAATGTCATCAGATCCATTTGGCTAATATTCTTGTGACTTATGGAATGGAATTTTTTTATTTTTATCTAGATTTTACTATACGTATTCTTAATTAATTTTAATGATAAACGACTAATGGCAAAGTTTTGAAGCTTATTCGTTATTTGTTGAGACACTTGTTGAATATCAGTTGTTATAAATACTTATGTCAACATTTGTTAAGTAGTATATTTGTTATTTAATTTAAAAAAAAGTAACTGGCTATAAAAAAGTAAATGTCATATACGAGATTAAGACTTACAAGGGTGTATGTAATCAGATAGTAGTTAACAAGACATGTTTATATCAACCTGTGCGGGTTCTCAGAAACCTTCCCAAGCAACAGAACACTGACTTCTCGTTATAATATACGAGTACTTAACAACGTTACCTATGACTCCTATCATCATCTTCCTCTTTATCCTACTCGGGGTCGGCACAACAGGTTTTTGTCCTCCAAATACTTCTTTCATACGTCATCTCAGTCATCACTCCCTTTTTGATCATGTCACCTTTCACGCTAACCATCCATCTCTTTCTAGGTCTACCTCTACCGGTGTTCCTCCACACTCATAACTAACGTTCTCCTTGTAACATGCGATAATTATGTACCTATGACTCCTATATGCTAGGTATTATATGTTGGCTCAACAAATAAATTGTCTGCCATAAGCACTCGATATTCCAAAGTTTTACAAGAAATAATAAAAACGCAATAAAATAACACAGTGACAGTGATAGTTGACAGCTAAGAAGACAGGAAGTGAAGACTGCACGTGTACACGATATATATTGTGAATAATTTATACTACTGGTACTATTGTTAAAAGACTAATAAAAAAACACTACAGCTGGGTTGCTGAAGATTCATTTTATCATTACCTAGTGATTCATTAGTGTTAGATTTATCGTTTCAATGGTATAGGACTCAAGTTTCGTAGATCGGAAACACATTTTATGGTATGAAGTTATTGAACCAGAATCTAACGAATTGTTAAATGTAGTTGGAAACGGTCATAGGTACTACAGTTTTAAACTCTCACTTTTATTTTAATAGAAACCTGGTGATGTATCGGCGTATATTTATTTTGTAGAAAACTGAACGCAATATCGCAGAAGACAAGTGGTATAATAAATAACTAACCAACAAGGTCGTTTTATTTATACTAGGCGATTAAATTATTTCACTTTAAATCTATAATGGTAGCTATAAATTATCAATATACGCATGTTTTATCCTTTAGTGTTACATCAAAAGAACTCCCACGCGTTCACACATGATTTAAACTTATATCTCAATGTTACATTGGGAAAAGTTTAAAATTAAAATTACGAGGGTCATCTGGTACTCGTTATGAGGAACGATATTGACTTCCCACAAATTGATGTATCGTTCTGTTACTAATCGATATATTTCAGTCATCACATTGTAATTGTTCTGTAGTTTAATAAAATGCTGCATTTAGAACTGTTGGTCCTCTTCGTGTATACTTAATTCTCTTTCAATTACTAATATCCATTACTAATCCATAAAAACATAATTCAAATAGGAATATTACTTTTATTTTTTTTTATACCACAGTCACATAAAGTACTAAAATTATAATTACATTTATATTTTTGTTTAGTAACCCTGCTAATGGTTTAATTATTAATTAAGTAAATGATCAACAAACCCTCGTTGGATCGTACTTTGCTAATTAGATCGAGAGTAATGAGCATTTTCAATTTAATTTAATTCCATCTGGATATCACAGTCTATCTTATTTAGGGTTGGCAGATTGAATTTTGTAGCTTTTATTTTTATACATAATCTATTGAAAAATGCTTTAAACAATGACGTCATAACGGTCAAGGTGTGCATCTTAAAATAAGTTAACATTTTCATAAATGTGTATTTATGAGCGAATACATTCGTTGCGTTTCGTTTGAATAAAAATTTACATTCAATGCAAATATTATTTAATAATATTCTTCAATTTGAAGACGGAACTTTGACATTTACTTTTTTATTTTCTTTGAATATATATAAATTGTAAGATTAATTCTATTCATCATGTTATATTAGCTTTGTTATAAAATTAAGTATTAATTCTTTGTGTTTTTTTCATTAGGAATATTGTTTTCGACTGAACCCAGAGCGAAACTCGAATTCGATATCTAACTTTTTATAAGACCAGATCTCATGATTTGTAGACAGGTGGCGGCGTAGCATTGCGGCGTCTTTGTACCCCGTGCTTTGATGTCGCCGCCGCATTGTGCGCGTGCGCATAAAACTAAATGGTTTTTGCTCCCGTTGTCGTATTGACGCTACTATTGATTTTTGTATGCCCCTGTTAGGCATCAATGCTTCTGGTTTCAACTTACGTCGGATTGTAAAAATTTTGGGGACCGTGTGTACGCTTTGACGGCCTTAGAAAGTCTAGCGTTATGTTTAATAGAACAAAATGGAATAGGTTATTGTATGAAACTGTATTTGTGAAATAACATACGTTATTTCATTATTTATTTGTATAATAAAAGAAAGCTATGTTTTTAAGTACCGCTTAATAATTGTATAATGTTTTGTTTGTGCAGGATTAACAGCGGAACTGTTCTACGTGCGTGACGGCCAGATCAACTCGTACGCACTCAACTTCGTGGTGCCAGTACCGGCTACCATCAGTGAGCTGCACTTCACCTGGCAAAGCCTCGCCAGGAGACCGGTAAGATAGATATATCTAATTTGGTAACCTTGATAGTTAAGATTCGAACTTACCTAGATAAATTGCAACTGTTTTATTACATAATCTTTTTCGAAATAAATCGAATTAAATAACGAATATTGCCTCTTACGGTATACTAAATGCAGGTTTAGTATTATTAGGGGAATATTTCGATAACTAATTAAAGACTTTTAGTGAAGTTAAAGACCTAATCTAATTACATATTAGACGTAACTATTGCAGTCCTCATTTTAATGATTTCCTGATAAATTCCACTGATAGTAAAAGTACGTCATGAGGAACAGGATATATTATACTGCCGGAAGCGTCAGCCAGGTCATTGACTCACACATTCTATCCGTATTAACAGGATTAAAGGATTGATCTCATTTTACGTAACCATAGTTAAACGGAGTTTGCGTGCTGATAAAAGGGTTTAAGCTATGACAACTCGAAGCCTTTGGTATACAGTGTGTATGCTTATTACTTTTGTGCTCTACGGCTTCTGATATACTTTAAAAGTGCCCAAAAATGTTCGCTGTTAAGAAAAAGTTATCGATGAAGCATTTAAAAAAAATACTTTTTCATTTAATTTTAAAACTAAAGTTATTAGATGATAAAATTACCTAAGTATTACGCCTAATAGTACGGTTATATCTATAATTTCTGTACATATTTAGTTAGTCTTGTTACCAATAGTTCCAACGTAAAGTTTTACTAGAAAAAAGAGAATTTTTATTTCTATTCGTTAGTAAAACTTTTCAGAGTTTATTTAGGTTTACAGTGAAGGCTCATAAAAACTGGGAATGCATCTCGTTACCTACTTTTCAACGAGTTTCCTATTAAACTTTTACTTTTATTTCACCACGTTGATGAGAATTTTCCATTAATTTTGCACAGACATTGCCTTAACTTAAATTGTTGTAATTAACTTGAGAGCGAAGTTTGTTAACAGCTTTACTTGGATGTGTGTTTATGTAGCTTCTAAGTTAATATTTTACTAAGTTCGGAATGCTTTGTACGAGGAAGAAAACATTATTGTTCTTAGCACTTCAGATATGTGGAAGCAGTTGTATGTAACAAACACACCTTCATGTTATTTTCGATTTTAGATTTTTCCTATTGTGCAAAAGGATATGCTTAATGTTATTAATACTCCTAAATACTCCTATTTTATACGATTTTCATTTCTCTGTTCATGATTCACTTAAAATCAACATGCTTTAACATCGTACGAAATTGCGAGTCATAACTAACGAAGGGAGAACGCTTCTCTCCGAATTGCGAAAATGTTTATCTAATTATTTGGCAGTTATTTACATTCAGCGGCTAACGTATCGGGCATCGTGATTGAAGCGATGTTGATAAGGACGTCACTATCGACGCAATAATAATCCCGTTGGCCGACGATCATAGACCAGTTTAATTTACTCGCCCCTCTTGATTACGGCCCTGTCGATAAATTGCGCTCATATTCTTGCGTAATCGATACAGAGCTGTACTGAATAATCGATTTATTTTGTGCTTTAAATCGATTTTAGGCTTCTCGTTCAAGTAGATTTATTGCTTTTGGTACTAATGGAATTAATAGTACGACGAGAAATGTAACTATTCTGATCCTGTTCAACTTAACATTGGGAATGTCAAATATTTAGACTCAAAGAACGTAATAGAAACATTTAAACATGCTTTTTCATTTGTAAAATGTTATCAAGGATTTTTTAGCAAAAAGGCTGGCGATTCCTGTTTCTCTTTAAAAGTTATTAATAAATATTTATTAACGTCATTTGTTTAAGGAATTCTTTTTCTGTTATTGTATTTTGTATCGTATAATTTTCTCGTTAATTCTCCAATACGAGAGAACAAAAACAATGATTGACGTGTTCCGAGTCTGCCGCAAGAGGCCGCATCTACGCGTTCAGCAAGTTTACATATCTTTTACATAAAAATCGATGACTCGTTATGCAAACATCGAGTTAGTCGAGTGCAACGCAGGAATCGCTTGTGCCACATCACTAACCAAATATTATGTGCATTTATTTAAGACTTTATTTGGTCTTATTCAATCAATTCTAAATCGGGATGTAACTTATAAATTCAGATTTACTCATGTAAAGGAGAGGCCACTCTTTCAGTTTAATGTTTACTTAACTAATAGTGTGTTTTGTATGAGAAAAGGCCACTACGAATGGCCTTTTGTGTTACTTTATCTGCTCTAAATGTGGCAGTTGATATGTGATTAGAAAATAACTTCGCTACATATATTTTAATAGAACAGTTATGCACAATGTTTATTATCTCCTAGGCCTTATTCCATTTATGTGGGTTTGTTTGTTAAGCCAATATTTTGTCGTCATTTTTACGGACGGCTCTACGTGTCAATCCTACTTGAGAAAGAAAAAACAAGTAAATACGTAAATTTACTTCAGATAAAACACATACAGTAAATATGAAAAGTAAAACATAATAAATAAAACAAAAAAGTAAGCTGATGCACTGATATGTCATATTTATATATTTAAATCATACGAAAGAAAAATAATATTGAATGTTTATGTAACGCTGTGTGGTCCACTGACGCTGTCAATAAAACATCTGTTTATTTGGGACGCCATTTGCAATTCAAGCTTGATTTGATACCACTGATGTGCATACAAAACCTATATTCATTTGGTATCCAATACATTTAGAGATATATTTCATGGTGAAACAGGACACTAAACTTACAACAAATTTACTGTCTCCCTTTGAAATATATAACAGACGTAAATTAAAACTTTATGGCAACAAAGTCGCGATCTTCTGCTAGTTACAAGTAAAAACAAAAGATCAAAACAAGAAGCGGTGTTTAGTAGATTCCCTATCAGATTGCCTACACCGCCTGCGAGCGGCTCCTTTGCTTCTAAATAAATATTTGGTAACTGTTAGTTAACTAGCGCCGATGAGCGATGGTACCATTGTGCTCGCCGACTGCCGTGATAATGTTTAATTAACGCAGTGTCGCACCTTCGTCCGACTTTATACATGAGATTCTCAAACTTTTTTCTCGTTATTTCCTCAACATCATAAAGTGATAAAAGAGCAAGCGGTGATGCAACCGCTGCCCACACATTTGCATTCAAGAGATGGGTTGAGTGAGAATTTCGGTGAATCTTGGGTAGATCCCAAGGGTCTATCTAAACCTTTGGGAATCACTGAACTAGACGTATGCGCATGCGCCGACGATGTTTATTTTAGCATGCGCGCAGCACCGCGGTCATTAGTCAGATTATAATGACCATGTCGGTTCCGGCGAGTGTTTAATTGCTTCGTTACTTCTGTTATCGACCACTCTTCATAGTACTTGTCACGATTTAACGAAGATGTGATAAGTAAAACGAACATTCTGTAGCGTAAGATAAAATTTCAAATAACATTAACATAGTTATTGTGATGACAATTAACATCACTTACTTTAAAAGTTGTGATACTGGTACATTTGTATATTTAAGAAAGAATATTTTTTCTTTGAGCGGGATGCTGTTGTTGTAGTTGGAAGCATTCCATCACGTACTGAACTCCTTATTATTAGAGATGAGGGCATATCGTGCAGAGTTAGCGGAATTTCTCGAGTACAAAGGTAACTAGACGTCAGTGAGCACGAAAGTCCGATAAAGGAGCATTGTTCGTGCTCACTCCGGGTCACATTTGACATTTGATCCGGTTAACGATCGCGACTAAACAGTTTTGAATCGACCTCGGAGGTCCGCTGTCCGTCAATTCTTACAGTTATATCGCGATGACATACCGTTAGGTATGTATCGCGCCCATAACATCTACGTCTTAAATGGAGACCGCCTTAAAGATGACCGACTTTTAGTTATCCAAACAAAGTTTTGATTAAAGTTCACGTACAATGCAAAGGAATTTTTAAGTAGGTAATTGGGACATTATCTGTTTACTTATCTCAGAACGATTTAGTTTACTTTACATTTTAGATTTTAATAAACTTTTTTTTTGTTTTAGCTGCCATACACATTACACGTGGACGTGGCGTCGGAGCCGGAGGCGATGCACCCGCCGACTTTCAACATCTCTAGCGCCGGCTACGTGCCCACTGAGACGCAGACATGGCGAGTCGACTTGCCGTGTATGGGCACCGTCGCCGCAGAGGTCAACATCACCATATCGCTCAATATCTCCACCGGCTCCTCCTCCACCATCTTACATTTCCGAAGGCGGAAGATATGCCTCAAAGAAGCACTTCGGCCTGCTGTTAGGGTTGATAGCGTTCCATATGCGCCGACTTCTGCAGACATATTCTACGCGGGCGCAGGCTGTGCCGGTGGAGTGCTCTTGATAGCCGCCGTGGCAGCAGTCGCCTGCAAGGCGAGGGCTCGTAAGCTGCGCCGGGCTAGGAGCGATGAGCAGGACGCGCACGCTTTCCTGCCAGACTCTTCCTGTAAGTCGGCAGCCAGCTACACCAGTTACCGCCGCCCTACCTCGCTACCTCCCGCCGCCGCCGCTGAAGAAAGGGCGAGAGACCTGCAACAGAGAATAGCTGAGCTGACAATACAGAGGTGCCGTGTCAGGCTGCGCGCGGTGGCCATGGAAGGGACGTTTGGCAGAGTTTATAAAGGCACTTACGCGGACGAGGAGGGGAGGGAACAAGAAGTTTTGGTCAAAACTGTAGCAGAGCATGCCTCACAAGTACAGGTAATTAGCGTTGAAAACGATTATTTCTGTTTAAAAAGTCCGACTTGAATCCGATTTGAATCTAAAACAGCAATTTCTTTACAGGTATCGTTGCTACTTCAAGAAGGCTGCATGCTTTACGGATTACACCACGAGAAAGTGCTCTCAGTTCTTGGAGTGAGCATTGAAGACCAGACGGCTCCGTTCCTGCTGTACCCTTGGAACAGCGGATGGCGGAATCTTAAGCAATTTCTATTGGCGTGCCGAGGGGTGGGCGTAGGGGGCGCGGGTGGGGCGCCGCCGCCGCCGCCGCTCACTACGCAGCACGTGGTGCGCATGGCGCTTCATGCCCTGGACGGCTTAGCCTACCTTCATTCCCAGCACGTGCTGCATAAAGACATAGCCGCCAGAAATTGCATGTAAGTTCCATAATATAAAAATTAACCAGTCATTTAGTTATTTATTTAACAGGTTTCAATACTAACTTATTTACTTTTCACCAACAGTGTAGATGAAAACCTCCGAGTGATGATCGCAGATAACGCGTTGTCGCGGGACCTTTTCCCCGCCGACTACCACTGCCTGGGTGACAACGAGAATAGGCCCATTAAGTGGCTGGCACTAGAATCACTGTCGCGAAGACAGTTCAGCCCAGCGGCGGACGTGTGGGCGCTGGGCGTGCTACTTTGGGAGCTTACCACGCTCGCGCACCAGCCCTACGCGGAGGTCGACCCCTTCGAGGTAGCAGCCTATCTGAGAGACGGCTACCGATTGCAGCAACCAGCTAACTGTCCAGATGAATTGTAAGTAAATTTATTTTATACGTAGGTTTAAGGACCCCCGTTTTGGGGACTAAAGACAACAAGAGAGAGACAGACAGACAGAGAGAATGAGAGAGAGAGAGGTAGGTTTAAGCAATTAAAGTGGATATCCCTATAATTTTAGTAATCTATACTTTTTGTCCTTAGGTTTGCTGTAATGGCGTACTGCTGGGCCATGTCGCCCGACGACCGGCCCACGCTGCCGCAGCTGCAGACCTTCTTGCGCGACTTCCACACGCAACTGACACGATTCGTGTAACTCTGTGCTACAGAAATATGACCCAAAGACTAATTGGAAGCGAGTACTAAAAAGGCGTATGCTTTTGCATAGAACAGTTACCTTTAGTGAATTAAAACTATTGTGAAAAGTGTGTGCGAAGTGAGCGGTGACCATAAATAGACTGATTTTTATATAAATGTGTATTATGTAAATTATAGATGTTTTATTAAGCGACTGTCGTACTGCCTATTTTATTCACCTTTTCAACGTTGTAGTTTCGTTGCGCAGTGTGTTGTGAACAAATAAAGGACCTTTTACGAGCTCTGTAAATTTATAACATGTGCACAGAGCGTGCGAATTTTAATATTATACTGGCAACACCACTCTGTAACCAGACTAAATAAATACGATCAAGTTAAAATTATTTCGCACTTTAAAAGTACCAACTAAGGTCATTGCACTTACTTAAACAGGGCTGTATTACGCTACACAAAAGGTTTTAAAACTGCATTGACAACATAGATGACATAATGAAATAATTATTCGTTTTTAATATTTTAAAGCAGTGAAAGTTGTCATAACCGCCTTTTTACGTGTTGTAACTCGTAATTCGTAAGGAAGATAAAATAGGATATGAAGACAGTCGCCTTTGAATATTGTAACGTTATTCGAAACCTCAATACTGCCATATTAGTTATAAAGATTATTTGTAAATATTGATAGACATGTACGTATATTGAATGTGCCTCAGATTTTATGAAAGTTTTAGATGTTTATTGGTGTTTGTAATTGAACAGATGTTTTCATTAAGACTGGAGTAGTTTCGTTTAATTTATGTAAATAGAATATTAATTACCTAGATCATTGATCGATACTTTAATCTTCGATCATAATATTTGTAATGTTCCAATAAAGTGAATTAATTAAATTTTATTACTATATCTCTTGCCATTAGTAAAAATTAACGTTAAATTTTATTACATATACGAAAGATCGTTTAAAAAAGATTAATCTTTTTAGTAGAACTTTTACTTTAAAGTAGAAAAGTTTTTATTAATTCGTCACGTAAATGAAGGATTACTTTCGTCGTTTGATCTTTCGAATTAAATATTATAAAAGCTATATGTAACCACTTTAGATTTTTTTATATTTCCGTTTATTTTAAGAACGCTTTGGTAGCGTGAGAATTCCAAAATAACATCAATTATTCAGATTTTAAATAAAAATACGGGCGTTTCCATCTTGGCACGCGTTACGACACTTAAGAACCGACTACATTATATTAGAATTTTTTAGATGTTTCTGGAAAATATTATGTAAAATATTGTTTTATAATCAGATTAACAAATTACATTTGTACGTGATTGTTATACAGTTTTCTAAAGTATCTTTACAAATCATTTGTTGTCTCTTTCTTACACGGGGAATGAAAGAGACGAAAGTTTTTGTATACAGCTGTTTCGTCTGTCGATAATCTTATTAACATATCCACCATTGTTTCCGTTTCAAAGAAAGAAATAATATCGAAGTGGGCAATTATATGTTTATTTTACAAAATGTGAACAATTTGTAAAACACATCGGATAGTTCTAGAAACTTTTATATCTTTGTACATTTAATCCTTGTATTATTTTTTGTACAAATGCATTTTATTACTATTGAGAAATGAATAAAATAGTGATAAATCAAATTTGTAAATGAAGCTTGTAAATTTGTAAATAATTTTATTCTTAAAAATGTCAATATACGAGTGAATACAATTTCTTTTGATTTTATTTACCACCCTTAGAAAAACAATAAAAATGTCATTTGGACTAAAAAAGTGTTAAAACATGAATGAAACCCACTAGTAATTTCAACACTTTATTTCAATAAATTCAAAAATTTTTATTCATATATTCAAAAACAAAAAAAATGCAAAACAAAAAAAAATACAAAAATGAAGTTACACTTCTCATAGGCCCCGACGAGATTCGAACTCGTGATCTCCTGTTTACTAGACAGGCGCTTTAACCAACTAAGCCACGGCGCCTCACGTCTAATGCTACGAAAATATCAACTATACTCTACTCGTAACGATTAACACATAAATTTTACGAAATCTAGTTTTACCTAGATTAAAATCTTATTTAACTTTCCATTTTTAATTATCTAAAATATATTGTATTTAAAGACTACAATATTTAACTTAGGCAAGATTGTGACGTAATTTGCAGTACATTCAAACACTGATATTGTAAATGAACAAAGAACATTGTTACGAGTGCTATCAACCTGAATATTTCGCTGATAAGGCGCTGCATCAATCAATTAACGTCAATCATTTTAATATTTATCAAAGCCGACTTCAGCATTAATTAATAACTATCAGTACATATTACATTGAATGTTACATAATTATCAGGCAATTGCATAATAAAATTATGTAATGAACTATTTTTAAAAGTAAATTGTCCCTTCAATTTATTCTATAACAATCCGCGCCTTTTGAGACTCAGCCCTCTCTATAGTACTGCGTATTGCTTGTTATTAGTGTAAAAATGTTATAATTGTCACAGGAAGGCGACTTTGGCGATTTCTATAACGAAAATTATAAAAATAAAAATATTTTAATGAATGCAAGTTTATTAGTATTGTCATTATTTTCAAAGAAAATAATTTAAGATTTGAATACATGGCAGTCGTGGCCGAGCGGTTAAGGCGTCTGACTAGAAATCAGATTCCCTCTGGGAGCGTAGGTTCGAATCCTACCGACTGCGAATTTTTTTATAACTTTTTTTACAAAATAAATACACAACAACCTTATAAAAATAACGCTGAATCGCAATTGTACAAAATATAGTTAGGCTGTACTTATTTTAGAGGGATTTTTTGTGCCACCATGATTATTGAGTGTACATAAGAATGACTATAGTCTCCAAACTTTAATGAGTTAAGTAAAATTTTCGAGACTCGTGTGGATGTTATTAACATATTAATTCCCTATCTTTTTAATTAATTATACTTAAACAAAAATTATTACAGCTGATCAAATAGGTAATTATACCAAGTTTATAGTCTGTGTCGTGTTTCCTTTAAACTGGGGTGCGATCTACGATACGATGTCTGTTTTGCATGTTCGTCTCGATTTATAATTCAAACTTTTTCATGTTAATTAAATTATTTATTTGAAATTTGTGAGTGTTAATGTTATGGTATGATTCCACTGTCGAAATAGTTGTATGAAACATATCGTTACTGCTCTTTTGTACTTGAAAAGATAAAGACAAGAATATATTTTAGTATTAGCTTTCGCACGCGATTCCATCCGCGTAGAATTAAAAAACTAAAGCATGCACCCTATGTGGTCTTCCATCCATCTAAACTTTCGCATTTATAATATTCATTAGGAAGATTACGGCAGTTCCATTTTTTGTTTAAACATGTCACTATATGTTGGATATAAAGAGTAAGTTATGTATTTATCATTATTGTTATATCTGATAAGAATGTCTATGTATTTAATCAACAGCAGTAGAAGCAGATTTTACTGGCTTAATATTTCTTGATCGTGATAACGCACATAACTTTGAAGAGTGGTTCATGCGAAGGGAAATAGGGGAACGTATCAAGTCTAATGCCGCTTCTGTAATGTTCTACAAGGGCAGTAATTACTGATGTCTATGTCCAGATAAGGCAAGAGGGTGAATAATGCTCGCAAGAGAATAACAGTCTAAGGATTTATTGGATTTCTTAATTTTAGTTGGTGACAATTTTATTGTTACTGTCCGTATTATGATTATAATAAATGCCACGTAGATGACGTCATGTGCAATTATCATAAATACATTGTTTCTTTTTACGAAAACATTCAACCTTCTGTAGGGATTATGATTTTTTGATAAACTGATGTTTATGATTTAAGATTGATAAATTCGACTAGCACATCACAGCAGTCGTGGCCGAGCGGTTAAGGCGTCTGACTAGAAATCAGATTCCCTCTGGGAGCGTAGGTTCGAATCCTACCGACTGCGAATTTTTTTTTTTTGGTGGTGCCATGAAATTTTTGTTTCTGATTTTTCTGGCTAAAAATATCAGTGCCTGTACAAATTACGGTTTAATTACACAAAATCGGCATTTCATTTGTTTTTAATAGAATTTTACCGAGCAGGATTCTCCGAGGAATCTTTATCGTATCCCAAAGCTCCTGCGTAGATTACATTAGGTTTAATGGAAAATTGAGGGAAATCCAAGGTCCCTCGGGTATTTGACAGGACGTATATACGTACGTACCCTACAGAATACGCGGTTGCTATACATTTATATAGCGGAATGTTCGATGTCTTAGATAAAATAAATGGTTGGGGATCAAAGATATTCGCTTTTATCCCGGCTCACGTGTGGTTGGATTTTAATTTGTTTCTTTTCCGGGTGGAACGGGAAACGAAGAAAAAAAAATAATTCTTGGAAAAAACGAGACATCGAATAAGCACGTCTACCATTTAGAAGAGGTGCTGCATTTACAGGAAAGATCCTGTCATGTTGTCATGTCAACTAGCTAATTGTAACATTTTTCTAAGTTTTGTTAGGCACTTATTTATTGATTGACACAAAGAGGCAAGGAATTGGTGGAAGCACAGGGAACATTGTGCAGGAGCCAAGGATCCCATGAAATGTATGTTGTTTACTTAGAATGAAATAATAAAGCATTTTGTTATTCACATTTGTTGCTTATTAAATGACAACTAATGTAATGGCAATTTAATATTGTAAATCTTCAATAAAATACTATAAGTATAACATTTATTTCATGATTAAATGCTTTTTAAATTACATTCTTAGTATTGAAAAGTATTGAAAATTAGCAAATGAAAAAACAATAACTGCGGGGCGGGTGGAAACGAGCGATTCATATTAAAATTCACTCAATTTCAGTGAATGAATTTCGGCAGATGAGGGAAGACGGATATTATTTAATCTGTCGTCGGCACAATGATAGATTGCCGCCAGCGCCCGCCAACGCTATTCTACAAGTCATCACAACTCGGAAACATCACGATTATTTGCTAGATAATCCTTTTTAACCTTCAGATATTTTTAGGGACACTTTTCTCATGTTTATTATAACGGTCGTGAAAAACAAAATATACTTACTCCATGCATCGATTGTTATGAGACAAAGTTGGACAGTAGCGCTCACCAACTCAGCAGGCATTCAATTGGATGAGAACACTGACTGTTGCAAGTGAGCCTGGTCTGCGCTTCTATTTAACTGTACTGGCCAAGTGTGGACCAGGCATCAAGTTCTCATTGTTGTCAATTTTTAATAATTTCAGAACGTAGGTTATATTTAGAATGTTACGGGCCTGTCCCACCACTGGATGATAGAGGCTCTGATAGCTTAAAAATGACATCACTGTTAAATAAGGGAAAATACGCGCTAGCCGTGGAGTTGCGGAAACTGTAGCCGCTACTCCTACTACTACTACTACTAGATAAGAGAAGAAAATCCGATATTTCCATCAAATATTTTACACGTTCGATTGTTATCAGACAATTTACAATTTGGTGGGACAGGCCCTTAAGTTGGAAATGCTTGTCCACATTTTATCAGCGTATTTTCGCGAGCACGAAAATCATTAGGCTTGTAAATGCGGCGTCACTTCGTTAGCTGGTGAGTGTATGTGAATTTGTAATCGGGAGGCGACGGCTTCGGTGATGGATGGTGCCGGCACCAGGTGCCGTCAGGTGCCGACCCGCAATCAATCATCCACAATTTTAATCAATTTATTTAACAGTCTATATAATTGGAGAGATTCATAATTTCCATGTCAATTTCCCATCGATGAGGCGACGATCGATTGCACTTTCAAATTATGCACCGGGAGCAACGTGTCCTCTGCTATCTATTTTGATTTCTTCATTTTTTGTCTCGTT